CATTTTTAAAAAAACCCAGCAGGCAAAGCAGATAATAACAAGACCTGGCAATGGCTAAGAGCAGTAAAATTGAAGAAAGAGACAAAGGTAATTCTGGCTGCATAAAACCAAGCCTTTAGAACAAATGCATACAAAGCCAGAATTCAGAAGACAGCAACAGATAGCAAGTGCCACCTATGCAAAGAAGCTAAAGAAAAGTGGACTACCTGGTTAGCTGCAGCAAGAAGATCACAAACAATGGCGTGACAAAGTAGCAACAAATGGTGCATTGGAAAATCAGCAAGAAATACCACTTGCCTGCAAGCAAGAACTGATGGAACCACAACATAGACAAAGTAATACAAAATGAAGCTAAAATGCTCTGGGACTTTAGAATTCAAACAGGCAAGCGCCAGGCACACAACATCCCAGATTTAACAATTGTCAATAATAAAGACCAAAAAAAAAAAAAAAAAAAATCTAGGAAGCCAGGTTTTATTTTGGCAGCGTTTTGCTGAGAAAATCATAATGGCGTGCTAAAAAGCCACATCATGGCCTTAGAGCTGAATGCATTCTACATAAGGACAGATGAAGGGCAAATGAAGACCTGTGTCCAGCATTACACAGTAGCCAATCAGATGCATTCTAGGTAGATTATGTGGTATTTCAGAGAAGGTGGGTCTTCCTAATACTGTACAAGTAGTCCTTGACTTACACCATTTGTTTAGCCACCACTTGAAGTTACAACAGTCCTACAATGGTTGCTTGGTAACCAGCATGTATTTACAATGGTTGCAGCATTCCAAGGGCATTTGATTGCCATTTACAACCTTCCTTGCCAACTTCCAACAAGCAAAGTCAATGGGGGAACTTGGATTAACAACCACATGATGCATTTAACAATGATATAATTCACTTTAACAACTATGGCAAAAAATCATAACTTTGTTAACTCACTTAACAACCACTTTTTTGGTCCTAACTGTGGTTGTGTAAGAGCCGTGGTGGCACGGTGGTTAGAATGCAGTATTGAAGGCTAAACTCTGCCGACAGCCTGGAATTCAATTCTTGCCGGCTCAAGGTTGACTCAGCCTTCCATCCTTCCGAGGTCAGTAAAATGAGGACCCAGATTGTTGAGGGCAATATGCTAACTCTGTAAACCACTTAGAGAGGGCTGTAAAGCACTGTGAAGCAGTATATATAGTAAGTCTAAGTACTATTGCTATTGTAAGTCAAGGACTGTATATTTATACTCACAAGAGGTAGAAAAGGATATCTGAGGAAGACTCCCAGTGTATTGGGGATGACTCCAACTATTGTCCCTCTGCCAATAGAAGGCTTCTGTAAGTGAATCATGGAAGCAGGGAATTTTCAGCAACAATCTTCTCCATATAGCTCAGGATGTTATCTCTCTTGGAGAGTTATGATTCTTTCTGGAGAAAGGAGGATATGGAAGATAAAGGGCTTTGTGGGAGACTGATTGAGTATACTCTTGTATACTTTTAATGGCAGGAGTCTTGCGTCAACAGAAAAACCAGGCAGAGGGTGTCACGTTCTTGCTATCTGCAGTCTACTTTTGGCAAAAGTCAAAGCAAAACATACAACGTGTTTTGTGGTTTCTATTTCTTTTATCTCTTAGTGGGAGTTAGGGAGTCATGCTACAATTTTAGCTGTGCTGCAAGTACAAGCAATATTGTCCAATACAGATAATCCTGTCTTAGCACCATCCAACAAAAGCAATTTAATAATGTGGAAAATCACCAAATCGTAAACTCACAGATGTTGAGACGCCCATGAACTTAAACAACAGACAAATAATTGGAGCGGATGACCTGAACATAACAGAAATAAACGAAGAAAACAAAGTCTTCCACATTTAAGAATAAATTGTGTGCAGTGTTCTGAGAAGAGATATATACTTTGGCCCAGCCTTCTCAACTTGGCCCCTTTTAGCTGCACTGGGACAGGGATAGAGGGCTGTGCTAAGGCTCAAACTTTTATTCTCTCCTCCATCTCCTGAAAAAAATAAAAAGAAATACAGTAAGGTAAGGATGATATATGGTTCTACCTCCTGATTTTATTGGGTTCTTATATTAGGAAGTGGTCTGTAAATGTAGTTTAAAGATTATGACTAGAATCTAGAGATAAGAGATGAATTCCCACTGAAGTTCTGCTTGTTTTGTCTGAAGCCATTTCCCCTTTGAAAAGACACCCTGGCCTGTTCCTTTGGCAGAGGGAATGTGATTCTACAGCAGACTGATTTTCAAGCTGCAGGTAGTTACATCTTCCATACTGATGGCAGAGTCTTTAGATGCCAGAGTCTTGCAAGTCAGGTGCCATATAGATTTGATCAATAAATAAAATAAAATCCCAAGCATGAATACGTAGCATCACTATTGCCTTCTTGATATTTGTTCAGTGAATAGCAATAGTTATTAGCACTTAGGACCTGGCTTAGGACCTGGTTATTTACGGGACTGCCTACTACCACAAATAGCCTCCCACCGGCCGGTACGCTCTCATAGAGAGGGGCTCCTCTGGGTGCCGTCAGCCAAGCAGTGTTGACTGGCGGCCCCCAGGGGGAGGGCCTTCTCTGTGGGGGCACCCACTATCTGGAACGAGCTCCCCCCGGAGATACGGACGATCCCGGATCTGCGCACCTTCCACCGTGCTCTTAAGACCCTCTTATTCCAGCAAGCCGGCCTGGCCTAATTTTTCTCCCCTTTTAAATTTTAAATTGAAATTTTAATTTGTTTTAAATTTATTGGGATTTTAATTGTCGTGGGCCAAATCATTTAATTTGGTTTTAAATTGTTTTTAACTTTTGTATTTCTGTATTTTATCCTGTGCCTGTTCACCGCTCTGAGTCCTTCGGGAGTAGGGTGGTATACAAATTTAATAAAACCTAAACCTTAGACTTATATACCATTTCACAATGCTTTACAGCCCTCTCTAAGCTTGCTCCCAACAATCTGGGCCCCCATTTTACCGACCTCAGAAGTATGGAAGGCTGAGTCAATCTTGAGCTGGTGAGATTCGAACTGCTGGCAGCTGGCAGCCAACAGAAGTAGCCTGCAGTACTGCATTCTAATCACTGAACCACCACGACTCTTATTCTTTAACTGTGTTAGTCTGCCCTATTGTTTTAATACTGCTTTCATTTATCTGAAGGTGTCCAGATATATGTATTACAGCTCCCATATTATCAAGCATGGTATTTGGGTGTGATGGGAGTTTAGCCCAAAACATATTGAATGAATTTGTCCAGGCAAGGTGGAGAAAGAACATTGAAATACCATGAATTAGCAGTTTGCAAGAGAATACCATTGCAATTATGGAGACTACATTTCTAATGAATTAATAGTCACCCTAATTAATAGCCGCCCAGCACGAACCATTGATCCTATTGGCTGAGGAGTCGGGGATAAACTATAAGCTTTACACATCTGGAGAACTGCAGGCTGAAGGCCATAAACAATGTTTCTTTTATAAATAGGCAATGCATTACGTTGACAGGCACATTTCCACGGCAGGATACATCCAAAAAGACTTCTGGAAGAAATTGGAAATTTCCATTTTCTCTTCTATCCTTTCATAGCATCCTGCCTTATGAAAGATTTACAATATTTATTTAATATTTTGATATAGCCACAAGACTTAATGATAATTTAATTAAGCTTTTCTTGATCAGTTTGGCCAGTTTTAACGATGCAGGCATTGTTGAATTAATAGACCAGTGAGTTAAGAACATTTTGCATATTTTTTTCATGTTTGTTTGTTTTTTTTTGCTCCTGGCCCTAGTTAACAAGAATAGCTCTAATCACTGTTTTATGAATTGCTATTAAAGTTGGAGCTGAGGTATGCAAATTCAGTGCCCAAAGATTGTAGATGGGGCTCCAGGCTGATTCTTAAAATAGATATTTAAAGAGCATGTATCTTGCACTACTATTAATCATCTCACCGTTCCTATCACCCATCTCCTTCCACTAATGACTGACTGAAACTTTATTGCTTGTATCCTTACAATTTATATTGACTGTTTCCTAATATCATTTGATTGCTTATTTGTACCCTATGACTATCATTAAGTGTTGTACCTTATGATTCTTGATGAATGTATCTTTTCTTTTATGTACACTGAGAGCGTGTGCACCAAGACAAATTCCTTGTGTGTCCAATCATACTTGGCCAATAAAATTCTATTCTATTCTGTTCTGTTCTGTTCTGTTCTGTTCTGTTCTGTTCTGTTCTATTCTATTCTATTCTATTCTATTCTATTCTATTCTATTCTATTCTATTCTATTCTATTCTATTCTATTCTATTCTATTCTATTCTATTCTTTGTTCTTGGTCCATAATTCAATGCCCGGCCCTCCCACGCATGTGTGCATGCTCCCCCCGTGCTCCCCCCGCTTTTGGCACACGATGGCACAGTGGGCCCATTTTTCACTCTCCCCAGGCTCCAGAGGCTTTCTAGGAGCCTGGGGAGGGCAAAAATGGCCTTCTTCAACACCCCCCGGAGGCCCTCCGGAGGCCGGAAACAGCCCATTTCCCAAATTCTGGTGGGCCCGGAAGGCCCGAAAATCAGCTGGCCGGTGGGCACATATGTGATGGAGCTGAGCTAGGGCAACGCTCGTGTCCCCTCAGATATGGCTCCGCGTGCCACCTGTGGCACCCGTGCCATAGGTTCGCCATCACGGTCATAGGAAATTAGACTCTTATACTTGGCTCCTGAGAGAAAGCTCCCCATCCTGTCTGATTTTTTTAAAAAGGCAAATGTAATCTTAGTTCCACTTACTAATGATACAGTCTTCCTCATTCCATGATTTTAAGTCCTAAAATTTACAGTACTTGTATTATATTGGGTATTCTGAGAGTTTCAGGCCAACTCTTCTAAAGATACCAAATTGGGGAAGTCTTTTTTAATGGATGAAAAATTAAGCATTTTGTTGTGGCTGTGTTGAATAATCCAGTATTAAAAAATACTAACACTTGTTTGCATATTTAACAATTCATGCCAGATTTCCCTATGGATTCTAATAATGGGAACTGTAGAGGCACCAATGCCGGTGAGTACATTTTTATCTAATACCTTGTTTTTGCTTTTTACTCTTTTTGTTTAGTTGACCTCAGGCCTCAACAGAATAGAAGCAACTTAATAGTGTCAGGATGTTTTGTATGGTACAAAAATTATTTGCTTGTAGTTACAAGTTCCTTCTCACTTACCTATTACTCCCGGTTCTGTAGCATGGAGGAAAGTGATAAATAGGATAAAACAATGGCAGAGTAGAAACATATATTTAGATAAGATTCTGTTCTGTGGTAATTGTTCAACTGGTATTGTATCCAAGAAGACTGTTAATTTTGCAAATACTGCTTTTCCTTTGACATTCTTTTTTATAATGCTTTTTCATATGCTTTATGTCTTGAATCCATGTGTGTGTGTGTGTGTGTGTGTGTGTGTACACATACATATATATACAGATACATATATATACACATACATACATACATATCAGTAGTGGGTTTCAAATCCCGGTGCTACCGGTTCAATATTGGTAGTGTGAGTGCATGACGCTTCTGTGCATGGGCAGAGCGTTTTTGATGATATCTGGGAGGGTGGGCAGAGCCTCCTGCCACCACCACTACCGGTTCGCCCCGGTTCAAACCGGGGTTGCAACCCACCATTCATGCGCGCGCGCGCGCGCACACACACACACACACACACACACACACACACACACACACACACACGGGGCTTGGTCGGTCCATTATTTTACAAAAGAAAGAAGTGAAATGAATTAAAGAAGCTTTTAAAGTTTCATAGAGAATAAATGATTTTCTGTTTGTTTTAAGAAATTCAAATCTTTAGAATAAGACTTTCCTGGATTTTCGATCACTGAATCCAGTCAGTAAATCTGTTATATACATAAAGGACATAATTTTTTAGCTCCCAGGAGTGTTCACCAGAGTAGAAACGGGTAATAGAAATTAAATGTATACCTACAAACATGATTTATATTCATGTAGTAATTCCTTAAAGCTAATCCTTGCTTTTCCCCATAATACACATATGAATGTGTCTTGTTCTCCAATTATTACTCCCAATCATCATCTGACCTTCTTAACCTTCCTGTAATTTATTTTCCAAGTTCCATGGTTCCCTGTTAATGGGAAGTGCCCAAGGCAGGTTCTGTAGCACAGAAGTGTGAAGGATTGTAACCAAAGACCATGCTTGTTGGGAATTCTGGGAGTTATAATCCCAACACATTGGGAAGGAGCCAGGTTGTATCAGGCTATTGTAAAAATTACACCAGGAATTGGATCCCATGTGAAGCACTTCACATTCCCTAAAATAACATGGAAATTTTCAGCACTATCATTTGTTATGTATCTTCAATACCCTATTACAAGGGGCACTGTGGATGTTGTTCAAAGAAAAGTCTTGGATCTGAACTATTCTAACAAACATTGCAAATGTTCCATAGTGTATTTTTTGCTGGTGAATAATATCTTTAGGCAATATCTAATAAAGTAATCCCTGACAAAGACAATTGGCAAGTTCTTTTGTATAAATAATTACCCGTTCTTTCTGGAATGGAAATAACATTTTTGTCCTTTTCACAAAACGTGTGTTTGTGTTTCAAGAAATTTAAAAGGTTTCTCCCAACTTTTTTTATGTTAAAAATATAATGCTTTTGCTGTAGTTTGTAGGTTAAAAGGTAAAGATTCCTCGCACATATGTGCTAGACGTTCCCGACTCTAGGGGGTGATGCTCATCTCTGTTTCAAAGCTGAAGAGCCAGCACTGTCCGAAGATGTTTCCAGGGTCATGTGGCCGGCATTACTAAATGCCAAAGGCTCATGGAACGCTGTTACCTTCCCACCAAAGGTGGTCCCTATTTTTCTACTTCCATTTTTTATGTGCTTTTGAACTGCTAGGTTGGCAGAAGCTGGAACAAGTAACGGGAGCTCACCCCATTACGTGGCACTAGGGATTCAAACCGCTGAACTGCTGACCTTTCAATCAATAAGCTCAGCATTTTAGCCACTGAGCCACCACATCCCTTTGTAGGTTTGTAGGTTATTGCATTCTAAAAGAAATAAACTATGCCGATAAAAAATCATATTCTTAAAAGTTGCATTTGCAATGTCCATTGTTTCTCTAGCTCTAGTGCCTTAAGTCTTATATAGTGCAATTAGTTTTCCCTTGCTCTTCCTTATGCCTGGACATCTCCCTCTCACTTGTCAATCCCTAGGATGTTTAGAAGTCATCTTTGACATCAAAGCTATAGACAACTTCATTTTGGGAGATTTACACAGGGTATTTTTGAGCTTAAAACATTTTGCACATTTCTCAGCTTTGAAACATGCAAATAAATGTGAAAATCTGTACCGCTCAAATACTTATGTTTTCTGGGTTGAAGACACAAACAGCCCTGTTGTGTTTTTTATTTTTGTTATTACTAAGAAGGCAAGTAAGCTTTCTTCCAGGTGAAAGCTAAATTAAATGTTCTTACATATCTCTGTTGATATATTTCTTATCTTGACTGGCAAAATCGCGAGCAAAAAGACATGTAAAAACATATAACATTGTCTTGGAAGTATCCATGTATGTTTATTGCAGTGTTTTCTTTATTTTATATTTAGTGATATACAAATTATCAGGCAGCAAACTAACAATTTAACTAAGCAAGTTGACAGAGTGCATAAGCTTGCAATGTAATATCTTGCCTTATCAGAACAGAAGAAATCATTGTTGAAAAATTTTTTGAGGAAAAAAAAAACACTAATTCAGATCATACTGAGAAGATGGCTGGGACTGATAGGAAAGTTTGGTTCTAAAGATCAGCTGTAGCTGACTATGTGGGTGAGGATCTGTCCTGAATTTACAGGCAGCCCTTGAGTTACAACAGTAATTGGGACCAGAATATCCATCACTAAGTAGATGTAGTTGTGTCACATGGCCGCATTACCTCACAACGACAGTCCGGGCACTCCTGTTGGCTGTTGTTAACTGAACTCCACCCTGTTGTTAGGCAAGGGCCCACCTAATCCAAGCCATTCCCAACTCCTCCAATCTATTGCGAGAAGGCCATGTGCAATTTGGATAAGGGTATGTGTGGCCTCAGGAAGAAGGTTTGGATAAGGGCAGTGGTGGGATTCAGCCAGTTCGCACCACTTCAAGATAACCAGTTGTTAACTTTCTGAGCAGTTTGGTGAACTGGTTGTTGGAAGAAATCATTAAGACAGAGAACCGGTTGTTAAATTATTTGAATCCCACCACTGGATAAGGGTATATATGGTCTCAGGAAGAAGGTGCAATTCATCATCAGGAGGAGGAAGAAAACAGCAAACATAAACTGGGGGTGGCAAGGCCATTGGAGTGCAAAGAGGCAGATAGCAGGGAAGCCAAAAGGGTAGAGATGGATGGAAGATAAGTGGCAAAGGGGGGTGGGGCGGGGAGTTAAAGAGGTCCTGTGGTTAATTCTTGTACAGTAGAACCTCTGGTCACAACCATAATTTGTTCCATAACTTTGGTTGCAACCCGATTTGGGTGTGACCAGAATCTAATTTTGGAAATTTGGCGCTTACAAAAAAACTGCCACAGAAGGGGAAATCGGCCGCGAAACAAAAAAAAATCTGAATTTTTTTGGTCGGAATCCGATTTGGTCGTGGTCAGAAGCATTTGTGACCAGAGGTCCTACTGCAGGGGTGAAATGCTCCCGGTTCGGACCGGATCGCCCAATCTGGTAATGATGGAGGCGGGTGGTTTGGAAAACCGGTAGCAAAAATCCCTGCGCGCCCCCCCACCATGCCCAGCTGAGCTGCGCAATCATCAGAAGTTTTTTTTAGTTTTTAAAAGCATTTTTACTACAACCTCTTCTGCCGAAAAAATGCCAAAGAGGTTGTAGAAAAAATGGTTTTAAAAGTTAAAAAAAATAAATGGCCACGCCCACCCAGTCACATTACCCCCCACTAAGCCACGCCCACTGAACCAGAAGTAACAAATTTTAGATTTCACCACTGTCCTACTGTATTTATAATTCTATAAATACAGGTGAACTGCTAAGTTCCCCGTATTTTGATCACTTGACCATGGGACTCTGCAACACCCATAATTTCAGGGACTGACATAACTACCATTTGTTCAGTGCAACCAAGTTCAGTGCCAGCTTAACTTAGAATAATTGCTGAACAAATGGTTGCTAAGTGAGGAGTAGCAGTACAGATAGTCCTCGACTTACAACAGTTCACTTAGTGACCATTTCAAAGTTACAACAGCACTGAAAAAAAGTGACTTAGGACCATTTTTCAGACTTAGGACCGTTGCAGCATTCCCATGGTCACATGATTTACCATTCGGATGCTTAAACAACGGACACACATTTATGACGGTTGCCGTGTCACTGGGTCATGCGATCCCCCTTTGTGACCTTCTGATCAGCAAAGTCAATGGGGAAACCAGATTCACTTTAACAACTGGGTTACTAATTTTAACAACTGCAGTGATTCCCTTAACAAATATGGCAAGAAAAGCCGTAAAATGGGGCAAAACTCACTTCAAAGATTTCTCACTTAGCGACATAAATCTTGGGCTCAATTGTGGTTGTAAGTTGAAGACTACCTGTACTTTTGTCAGCTCATTTTGCTTTATTTTCCTTTCCCCTTAGCCAAGAAGAGGGAATGTTCGATCTTCCAAATGTTAAAAGTTACCGTCAGTGTGGAAGATGTTAAAGGATGGAGTGGGAAAGATTTGCTTTGGTAGCAGCCTGTGGAAACAGTAGACAATGTGAACTTGAAGGTGCTATTAAAGTCAATCATTGACCTGCAGGCTGCTTGTATCCTAGAAGAATTCCACTCTTTGCTATAGGTTTCTTATCAGGAAAGGAGAGTATTTAATTTTTTTTTTTGCCAGAATAAAAGTACAGGTGCCTTCATTCACTTTTTTCACCTACTGTTCCACCTCTCCTGTCTAATAAGTGATCCACCAGGAGAGATTTGCCTGAAGCAAAGCATATGGAGCATTAGGGACATGGAAACTTGACTTCTGCATTGTTCTGTTATTTAAGCATCTCAAATACATTCCCCCCCCCCCAAGGGAAGTAGGGTGGCCTTTTAAGAAGGAACAGGGTGACATGATAGCTGTCTTCCAATACTTGAGGGGCTGCCACAGAGTGGAGGGGGTCAAGCTATTTTCCAAAGCACCTGAAGGCCAGACAAGAAATAATGGATGGAAACTGACCAAGGAGGGATTCAACCTAGAAATGAGGAGGAACTTTCTGACAGTGAGAACAATCAACCAATGGAACAGCTTGCTTTCGGAAGTTGTGGGAGCTTCATCACTTGAGACTTCCAAGAAAAGAGTGGACTGCCATTTGTCAGAAATGGTGTAGGGTCTCCTCTTGAGCAGGGAATTGGACTAGATGGCCTATAAAATCCCTCCCAACTCTGTTAATCTGTTAATCTTTTCCTCTAGAATGAACGGTTCATGACTTTTGGGAACATTACATCCCACCGATCACTGTATCAAAGAACCTTGGTCCTTTGTTATCTATAAGGATAACAAGAAAATATCATTGAAGTAGATTTGGATTTGCCTTGGGATAGCAGCAGTTGATTGTGTAGTAGAGGAAGGTGTTGGGAAAAATCTGGGAGGAGAGGTAGGCTGGTGGGATAGGTCATGTCTAGACATACCAAGGAATCTTCGTGGTCTGCATTCCCCAATAGAAATCTTCTGCTCTGAATCAGTGTCTTAAGACAAATCCTGTCTTGTTTTATGATCCTGGGAAAATAACTTCTTGCAAACTTCAATTTTATGCTGTGTCTAACTGTATGCAGAAAGAAATGCCTGTAATGATTATAACAGCTTTCTTTTGACAGTAAGATTTCTAATAAATCTGCAGGATATTGTCTATAAGCAATAAACTTATACTTTTTTCCCCGTCAACAAATGGGCTGAGTGAGACACAAACCAATTCCTACTGACAACACAGTTTATTTGTGATTATTGCCAAATCACATACCTTTCCTTTTTTTAGTTCTAATGTGAAGGGAAATTCTGTTTTCTAGAGCGCTGCAAATGCAAGCCTATAAAAGCTACCCAGAAGACCTACCTTCGGAACAATTACAACTATGGTAAGTGTGGCATGAGGACAAGAAATAAATTTTGAGGAAGAGAAGATTTAAATGAAAACAGAAATGATTTCACAGAAAGGGATTCTTGGGTAGCTACTTCAGCCAATTGTTATGTCCAAAGGCAGGCAGCTGTTGGGGACCAAAAATTGTCTGCTGAAAGTGACTTTAAAAGTGCTCAGGTTCCTTCCTCACCTGTTTCATGCTCAAAACAACAATTTTAGGCAGTTCAGGCTGCCAAAAAGATTGACCATCCCAAGGTCAATTAAAAAGATTCGAAGCTTAGTGGAATTTGAACCTGGCATTCCTACTTTTTCACCTGAAACCTTTGAGAATAAGTAGCTTTCTGGAGGGAACAAGATCAACCAAATACATTTGGGAAATTTCAGAAGTATTAGATACAAATGCAAGCACTTCTTTAGAAAAGAAAAACAAGAATATTGATTTCAAGAAGGCGGGTATTGTTATTCTTCATCACTAATAATCAAGTGATAAGATTGTCATTTTCTTAAACTACTCTTCTGGTGCTAATGGCAGTGCTTATTGTTTTAAGAAAATAAGAACTCTTTTATTATGTTTTCAATTATTAATTTACACCTTTTTTAAAAAAGGCTTTCTCTCCAGAGTCGAAAAGAACAAAATATTCTGGAAGATGCATTAGATGTCCTCATTTTAACCTCTGTTCTTCTTTTTCTTCAGTTATTCGGGCTAAAGTTAAGGAGGTAAAGACCAAATGTCATGATGTCACTGCAGTGGTCGAAGTAAAAGAAATTCTAAAATCTTCATTGGTGAACATTCCTAGGGACACGGTCAATTTATATACAAACTCTGGCTGTCTTTGCCCACCACTTAACGCTAATGAAGAATATATCATCATGGGCTATGAAGATGAGGAACGTTCTAGGTAATAATGGGCTCCTCCCTTTAATTAGTTCCACCAAAACACAGTTAACTGAGTAAAATTAGGAAACCAAAAGAGAAATCTTAAATCTTGATTGTGGACTAAATGCTATCAAAAACAAGCTATTTTATGGCTGATTAATATTTTTATTTAAAAAGTTTTTTAAAAAGAAGAGAAGAATAGCTGGAGGAAAAAATCTACACCTCTGATTAATAAACTTGGCATAGTTTTGAGAAAGTTAGTAAACAGATGCATTTGTCTCATGAGTTTTCTTGTAGATGAGATCTTTGTTTATATATGTTTTTATTAAACAAATGAACATACTTTGTGCCTCTTGGTTCCCTCACTGTCTTAATATTTTTATATAAAAGTTTATCTGATTTTTTTTAATACTCCATCTTTATTTCCAAGAGTGTTTTTGGAGTTCATTGACTTTCTTGCAAAATAAAAATGGTAGGTGATCATTATTCAGAATTCTATCAAGTGCATTCCCAGTTGCCCAGAAAAATAATGCTTTGTGATAGATTTTAAAATTCCCATCTATTCAATGGTGCCCGAAATTAAGAATGCCCAGCTTACTTCATGCAGACATTTCTTGGAAGCATGCACAATAAAAATCAGTAATCAGGATTTAATAATAGAAAACAACCCTTGGATTGTTGAAGAAGGTAATTGGCACCAAGAACAACCTCTCAGATCTGATCAAATGGTTTTTATTCAGCTAATGCAGACAGCTTGCATTTTGCAATAACCAAGCTTGCCAAAGCTTTCAGTGGTCTAGACCATAGTTCTGACTCACTCATTGGCTTGCTGTAATCCATCTGTCTTGTTGGATGCTGGCCTCAGACAGTTCCTGAACCTCAGTTCCTGAACCCTTGTTTTGTGGAGTTTGCAGCACTGTTTCCTACCATGGTAAAGAAACTTTAAAATAGGTATATCATAACACTCCCCCAAAAGCAAACCTTACATTCTCCCCAAACTAGTCCTGTCCGTGTGTGTGCATTATCTCCCATTCTTCAGATCTTGGCTTCCTCAGTTGTTGTCCTTGGTCATGAAAGTCTACCCAATCAGTCATTTAATTTATAACCAATGGTCATAGTTCCCCATTTTGCAACCTTATGAACTGTAAGGTATGCACTTCTAGTATTCTCAGCATTTTTCTGGTTGGAAATTCTTGAAGTTGCAGTTCTAGCACATCTGGGGGGGGGAGGGAAGAAGTGCAACAGGCTATTAACACATCTTGAGTGACAGATTCTGAAAAAAAATGGGATCTTGGTTGGAACTCATGTTTCAGAATCAGAGACTTGTATGGACCTGGTCAAGTGAATCTCTGTGCCTGGCCCATTACATAAGATTTTTTTGTGAGGTTAATTTTATTTCAAATGCAAGAGATAAATGTGATATTAGCTGATTTCGTATCCTTTTCCCTAAGCTAAAATTGTGTCAGGCACAAAAAACCAGTTCCACATGTGAAGGTCCAAATTAACTGATTTATTGCTAAAAGCCTATGTATAGGAATCTTCTCAACTAATGGTTAGAACTAGATATGAGTCAAAGGCATTGGGGAGGGAGGGTGGGCTTACCTCGTGGCTATGCCACAGTGACTCTAAACTGATCCCTCTTTTAACTCCTCCCATTGGCTCTGCTAGTCCTTCAAATTGTCACATTACATCAGTTCAAGGGCTATCTAATTACAAAGATCTACACCTCTGTTATATATGTTTCTGCCTAATTTTATGCAAAAACAGTCTTGTGACACCTTTATATTTTTGATAGATTTATTGTAGTTTGTTATGTTGGAGTCACAAATTAAACAAAGCCACCCATGAAAATGGTTCTATTTCTAAGAAGGTCTTAAATCTATCAAAGTCTATTACTGCAATGAGTTGCATTTTTTCTTGCATCTTTTAAAATTCAGAATAGCTAAGGCAGGATACAGCTAAACTACTGTAGTATTATGTACTATTCATACTCGTATACTTATATATCCATAGCTAGCTTTCCTTCCATGAGTATAGATTGTATTAACAAACATTTGTACAAGTGGGAAAAGTAGGCTGTTGCTATGGGACTTAAGTGGTCCCAAATAGTGGTCCTTACTAGATCTGCATTTGCTCCTTGAACATAAAGTTTTCTCTTTCTTCTTAAACTGAGTTATTTTACTTTTTATATATAATTGTTGTTGTTCTTTTTCTTTAAAATGCAAAGACTACTCTTAGTGGAAGGCTCCATAGCTGAGAAATGGAAGGATCGTCTCGGTAAAAAAGTGAAGGTAAGACAAATTTAATTAACTGCTTAACATTTGACCTTGATTATATGTTGTTATAATTTTTTTTTTTGGCTCGTTTCTAAACAAGTTGCTGGATTCTGTTTGTTTACTCGAAAACAAACAATTAGGCTTCACTGTCTAGCTTGCTTAAGTGAGAATATAGCCTCAGGCAACTCCTTTCCCCACAGAAATGAGTTTTTTTTCTACTGTATACCATACTGAATCTCCTTTTCATTATACCAAGTATCTCCCATGCCAAAACAAATTCCAAAATCTGTAAATGAATATATAAACTGAGGCAATCCAAACTAGAGGTGAAGAATTATATCATAGAGAATGGTGTAAAAATATTAAAACACATGTTATAGAAAATGAGTAAAGAAGCATGGATAATTATGTAGTATGATTAAATTTTAGGGACAGCACTTTGGGAACAGGTTAGGATTATTTTCAACACAACTCTTTGCAGGTAGTAGTCAACATACAGCCACAATTGAGACTAGAATTATGGTCATAAGTTATAGCAGTCATAAAGCAAGGCATCCATGCAACCCTGACTCTCCCCACTGTGGATGCTATGTGGAGCATGGGGTGTCTCAGAAGGTGGGGAAGGCCCTGGGTTGATGAACAAATGGTCGTAAGTCAAGGACTACCTGTATATCAATTGTCTGTGCTTAGTGATGTACCCCATGTTAAGATGAACAGGAAAAACATGTAGGAGTATGTATTATGACCGATGAATACAATATTTGCTAGAATGGAATGTCAGTGACAGAATGAATGCTGGAGTAATGAAGCAACAGTAACAAGATACTTTCCAGATCCTTTTAAAGAATTACAGAATATGCAGGGAAAAAAATCCCAAAGACAATTGCAGTTGACAGCAGTTACTGAATACTGTTGATACAGGGGTGAAATCCAGCAGGTTCTAACATGTTCTGGAGAACCAGTAGCAGAAATTTTGAGTAGTTCGGAGAACCGGCAAATACCATCTCTGGCTGGCCCCAGACTGGGCTGAGAATGGAGATTTTGCAATATCCTTCCCCCTGGAATGAGGTGGGAATGGAGATTTTGCAATATCCTTCCCCTGGAGTGGGTGGGAATGGAGTTTTTGCAATATCCTTCCCCCAGAAGTGGGGAGGGAAGGGGATTTTTGCAATATTCTTTCCCTGCCACACCCACCACACAAACAGAACCGGTAGGGAAAAAGTTTGGATTTGACCCCTGTGTTGATGCCATCCACGCTGTAGACCGTTCATTTTGTAATTTTGGCAACAAATTGGAAGATATTGTTGAAGAACTGTGGGTCATGTTGATGTCTAAAAAGTTGCTAGTTTAAGATCTCCATGTTACAGAGTGGTACCAGTGGGATTAAGTGTTGATGATTTCAGAGTAATAATTATATTTTGATCCAGAATAGTGTTGTTTTGTTGTGTAAAAAAGTGGAACCGATTTCCAAACTTGACCAGCTTCTTCTGGTTTCACAGGGAGTTTGAGGTTGAAGATGGAGCAGGATGAACCTTATATGTTCTGTTGTGCTCTTGGATTTTTTTCAGACATAAAATGACTGATATTTGCTATAGCCTCATAGAGCATAATTGTTCCTAGAAGGCATTTTGCTCAGAGTCGTCTCTATCCTGGTAAAAGCACTAGTTACTACGTTTTTAAACAGAAATATCCACTGACTGTAAACTTCCTTCTGCAATGGCATCAACCCAATTCAAGCTTTTCAAAATAGTTAAGTGTCAGAAAAGAAAGCGACACCCCTGACACCGTTTGCTTATCCTTCTGTTGAGAATTGGCCATATCTACAGGCTGTGGAGATCTTGTCAGCACTACCGCTAAGGCTTCCTTTGTCTTTACTCCTCTTCTTCTTTTTTTTAAACTGCTGCCAAAACACAAAACAATAGTCCACTCAATCCATCTCAACGGGGGTTAAGAGGCTATTAAGTCAGAAACTTTTAAGTACATGTCTGAGGGGACACCAGAAGAGAACATGCTGAGCTTTGAACATGCTCCTGCTCTTTCTCGGTTTATGGAAGGTTATTTTGAATCCAGGAAAATCCTTTCAAATTGGCAATGTGGGGAGGACAATGGTGCAAGCTCTTTCGCTTGAGCTTTGTTTTGTGTATGACATTATGTCCAGAGATTCACTTTGCATAACAGGGTTTAAAATCTGATCTGTTATGCAACATAGATTATTTCTTACTCTCACTGCTGAAAGAAGGAAATGTTGCAGGCTACTTTCCCACGCTCATTTATCGGTGTTTGAACGTGTAGCCATCATATTCATTTCAACATATAGCCTTCAGCCACATATACTGGTGACCAGCACCAATCTCTTACTGGGGTGCTTTCTAAGCATAAAATATGGCTGATATTTTTCTGAAAAACTCTGTTACTGTGGACTTATTGTCCTTGATATGAAATGTTGTCATTCTTGTAACAATCACTCACTTTTTAATACTTAGCGATCATGTTTATGTATGGTAGCAAGAGACATGTGACAACAGAAATGCCTTAGAATAGGGTGTTCTGTCCCCGTCTCACACACGCACACAAACAGTCAGCCAGGGGTTAAATAAAACTTGCAGACAATAAATTCCTTCAATAACAAGATTGGCAGCAATCCAGTACCTGCTTGCCAAGAACTTTACTCACAGAGGGAGGTGTTCTTCCTCCGTCAGATAAACCAAAACAAACACACAAAGTCAAAGAATTGTCAAGTCCAGTCCGTATTAAATCCAAGGCAGGCAGATAACGTAGTTTCAGAGATACAATGCGACTCGCTAGTTGTTTAATTTTGTCCGTCACAGAGCCTGAATGGCCACCACACCCCCCTTTTATCCCCTGTGGGGTGTGGTCCAGTGACTCAGCTTAATCTCTGGCACGCCTCCTTTTCTGCTGCGTGCGCTTGTCTCTCCGATGCTGGCGTGGATCCAGCCAAGACTTATCTCCGTCACTGTCCGACTGCGACTGTTCAGAGATACCTGGCTCCTGGCCAATCTCTTCTCCCTCGGGAGACACCTGAGGCATTGCCAGAGAGGAGGGTCCTGGAGAGGGAGGCCTGGCCAACTCCTCTCCTTCACTTTCGGAGTCTTCTCCCTCTGATAAGATGGGCTCGGGGGTCGGAGTCACAACACAGGGGTGGGAAAAAAATGGCCCTATTATAACTTGTAGACTTCAATTCCCAGAATTCTGGGAATTGAAGTCCACAAGCCATTAAAATTGTTCCCCCCTCTGCCTTATAAGGGAGTCATCTGTAAGACACAGTTACATATCTTGTCCTAAAAATAGCATACATAAGTCAAAAAATGTTTTGAAACATTATTTTGACATGTTATAAATGATTTGTTAAAAACACAGGCAGCAGAAAGTTTTTTTTGTTTTTTTTTAATTTGATTTATATGCCGCCCTTCTCCGGAGACTCAGGGCGGCTTACAATGCGTTAAGCAATAGCCTTCATACTTTTGTATATTTATACAAAGTCAGCTTATTGCCCCCACAAACTGGGTCCTCATTTAACCTACCTTAGAAAGGATGGAAGGCTGAGTCAACCTTGAGCCTGGTAAGATTCGAACCTGCAGAAATTGCAGGCAGCTGTGTTAATTACAGGGTGCATTAAACCACTGTACTACCAAGGCTCTACCAAAAAAGTTCAAATCTTTGTTTCAATTTATCATTTGATAAGAGTTAATTTTCCATTTGCAGTCTGTGTTTAATAGTATTGTTCACTTTCTAGGTCAAAGTGGCCTGGAAACATAACATATTACTCGCGTTATCTGGTTTTCTCTGTGACCAAAAAAATTTGCATTTTCTTCTTCCTAAATATCTAACCTACAACATTAAAACTGCGTAACAACTTAAAACTCTCGGTTATGAATGAAGTCCTCCAAAATTTTCCATTTACCTAACAGTTTTAGACAAAAGTGTATGCGATGGCACCCAGGTGTGCTGAGGTGGCTTTGAGGCTCTTTGATTAAAAAGATAAAAGCAAAATAGAATTGAATGGAAAAGCAGTAAAATGTACAGCCACTTGAAAAACTAACTATAGGTGAGAAAATTGCTTTTTTTTTAACGGTAGGTGGAAGTTAGTGTTAGTAAACTGTCAGTCACTTGTGGTTTGGTTTGATTAGATTACTGCAACACACTCTTGCATGGGCTGCTTGAAGACGCTTTGGAAGCTCAGCACAAATAGAAACAAATGCTTCTGGTTATGCTGATGTGCCGTAGCTTCTAAGTCAGTGGTCTGCAACCTTTCTGGCTCACACAAATGGAGCTTTGCATGCACGTACTTGCCCACGGCTCGCGCAAGTGGAACCGGGCACTCACCCACTACTTGCATGGCCCAGTTCCGAACAGGCTGTGGCCCGGTACTGAGATACAGCCTGGGGGTTCGGGACCCCCGTGCTAAATGAGCTATACTGGTTTTCCAGTTGGCTTCCAGGTTTAATTTTAGATGCTGGTCATCCCTTACAGAACCTTTCATGGAATAGTGTTTAGTTTTTTGAGAGACCGCCTATCTCTGGTTGTTTCTGCCCATTTGGTGCATTCAGTCAGAGTGGGAGCTACGACCCATTAATTAATAGTTGTCATCTTATGGAACTGAGGAAGCATGCCTTCTCTATTGCAGCCACTGCTCTCTGGAGAAGCATTCCCCCCCCCCCCCACCTCCCCGCGAAAGATATACAGCTTCCATTTCCTTGGTTTTCTGAAGTCTTTTAAAACCTGGTTGTTTTCCAAAGCCTGAGGTTATGGGTGTCTGTGGAGCCCCTGTTGAATTTTTGCAGGTTACAGATTGTTATTTTGGTCTCTGCAATCATGTGTTTTTATTGTGCATTGTACTTATGGTAAAGAGCTCACAAACCTCTTGGAGATGGGCAGCCTTGACAAATCCAGTAAATCAAAAAATAAAATGATTAATCTCTCTGTGTATCTCTTCTGCTTAATAAATCTGCTATTGATATTAATATTTACCTAAAAAGAATCTAATCTCCCACCCTCAGAAAGATATATGTATATATAAATCTGTGCATGCAACATGCTTTTGTATGTGTGCGTAGATAGGTGTATGCATCTGTATTCCTATCAGAAGCCATACTTCAAAAAAGGAGAGGGCCAGGACCAAAAAAACTAAATGTATAAACTATTCATAAATACTTATTAAAATTAATTACCTATAAAGTAAAGCACTTCAGTAATACAATTAATTGATTCCACTCTTCACAGAAGCCACATAAGTATATACTCTCTCTAGCAGAAATCACAAAAAAGATGCAGGTAGTAATACCATAGAGAGCACTATCTGGTATTATCATAAGTGGATATTGGGGAAAATGGACATTGGGGGAAAAAAAGAAAAGTGAAAGAAATAAATGAAGAGAAAGTATATTTTGTTTGAAAATTATTAGAAGGTAGATTAATCTTCCAATAAAATAAATAAAATATGGATATGTTAAGGAGATGGTATGGGAACGGTTTGGAAATGAGTGAAAAGAATTATGCTTCAGTGTGCTACCAAAGTGTGTGAAATTATGGTTAGGTAAGGGTTAGGATTAGGATTAGTGGGACATATGAAAATGGAAACTTGGTGGAATGAGGAAAGAAGCTATGGATGAGAATTTAAGAGAAAGTTTGCTGCAAAAATTAGGATAATATACTGTATAATGTAAATGTAGAGAAAAAGATAGTTATCAAGAATATTGTTCAAGAGAGACAGTGTCATTGTGTCCTCCTTGATTTCTTAAACTCCTTAATCTCATTACACATGGACAGACTTAATCATAGGTTCAACTGTAAAACTCACTTTAGTTTTTAGACCAAGCAAAATCCAAAACAGCTAAGGAATTTCCAGAAGGTTGGCACTCAAAGGAATCGGCCATCAAGAAGTTTATTAAAGATAAACCACATTTACACTTCATTCAAAAGAGACAATTAAAAAATCTAAAAAGGAAACAAAAAGCTAAGAAGACCCCCCTCTCCAGCAATCAACATCCAGATAAGCAGGGATTAACACCAGGAGCAACACCACACAAACAAGCAGTAAACAATGCCCTAATCAAGGAACTTCCAACTCAGGTTATCAATCAAGCAGTAAACAACAGCCTAAACAAGAAACTACCAAGGAAAAAATAACAATCCCACCAACTGGGTAATGAAACCTCTGCAAGCAACCAACCAAGCAAACTCAGAAAGCACCACAATTCAACCATGAGCTACATATATTCTCTTCTATTGATACATTAAAAAGTTAGGATCAAAAGAGCCAGAGAAGATGCAGAGCATCTAAAAAATGCTTTGATCTCATGAGTGACAAAACTAAAACAAGGAGCATCCAGCACAATGAATAGAATGAAAATAAAAGTGAAGGCAATGTTGGAACCAAGCTGTTTGCAAAGGTAGAAGGGTATGGAGAATGGTGTTTGTCTCAATTAGATTTTGCCCTATATTTCCTTCTTTTATCTCATACATTTAATTCCTTGCTTATCATTTCTTATTCTTTTCTGCACTTTTCAGAACATTATTCTGCAAATTTTTATTCAAGAAAGGACTGAATATGACTAAAAAAAGATAGCAAATGGGCTGAAAAAAGAGATTGTTCTCCCTGTGCTATTGATTATCTTGCAAGTTTTAGGATGTTTTTTCTAATTTATAGGAGACCTTTAAAAAAGGATACCTGCATTCTTCTCATGCTATTTATTTGAATTTTGGACATTTATATTTTGACACCTGAAATTCCAGGAGGAAGGAGAAGAGATGAAGGGAATGCATATAGAAATGGAAGCTGGATGACTGAAGGATAAGAGAATTGGTGTAGTTTGTCCAGCCTTGTCATTTCCTGTCCAATTGTTGTATTCACTTTATGTCAGTGGAGATTTGTGTTTGTATTAGTGTCTCTGCTTGTTTTCATTTTTCTCCAGTTTGGCCACAGTTGGCTTCATTTAGTTTTTATTTGAAAAAAAATAAATTCACTGCAAGGCACTTTTCAGCCTGTGTCATCTTATGCTGGTGTTCCCTAATTCATTTCTATTAATAAGATCTCTAACATTAAAGTAAGAAGAGTTGAATTATTAAAATAAAGCAGTTATTAGTACTGAATGATCCAGCCCAGGTTTCTACCACCACTTTCACAGATGTTTAGACTCTTCTCCTCCTGTAATCTCAGCAGCCATGTTGAGGATATCGGAAGTGAAGACTGGTACCTCTGAGATTTTTTTTGCTCCTTTCTCTTGAGTGCCACAAATGTTGAGCTGGAACTCCAGCAAAGAGGGTGGGTGGGTGGGTGGGTGGGTGGATAGATAGATGATAGATAGATAGATAGATAGATAGATAGATAGATAGATAGATAGATAGATAGATAGATAGATAGATAGATAGATATAGATAGATATAGATAGATAGATAGATAGATAGATAGATAGATAGATAGATAGATAGCATCACAACAGATCATAAGAACAGAATTATTTAAACCAGAATGTGGCCATTAATTTTGCATTTCAATCCCTTAAACTACAAATAAAGTGAAAGAACCAATGACTGCTTATCTAGCGTTGCACATAATTGTATATTATAGAAATATAATTCTGATATAAATGGCTAATTGCTTTTTATTAAAAGATGAGAGATGAATCACATCTTTAGGAAGAAAATTGAACTGCCTTTGTGGCAGTCTCACCTTTTCTTTTTAATCTTACAGCGCTGGGACCAGAAACTCCGTCATCCTGCCAAAGGCAGAAATGAACCTGGACAAAGTGATTCTGCTCCCAAATCTGGGAGAAGCACCAATCCACGACAAAGGCGCAACTGAGATGAAAAATACCTTGAGGCCAAAACTAATCCATGGACTTGTATAAATTAAAAGACTTGCCTTCTTGAAGCAGCAAAAGAGAAATTGCACTATTGCACGTTGCCTTTTATTGTTTACTATGAGTTCATTTTGTAGCCAATGTTAGTTGTTTATTTTTTCTTCCCCCCTTGTTTTTTTGCCTTTTGCATTGTGCAGGAATACAAACACTTGGAAAAGAAAGGTATATTATATTCACAAACATCTATCTGTGAATTACATTGACAAACATTTTTCTTTCTTTGAATGGCCAAATTGATTTTATTAGATGCTCATGATAATTGTTTGTATACAGTTCTTTCAGTCTAGAAAGCCACAAATACTATATGTATAAACAAGTTGCCTGAAAGGACATTTTTTAAAAAAACGAATCCCACAAATTCTTAGGTTGTATTAAGAAACATAATCCAAATTCCCCTGTAATTATAAAGAAGAATGAGGTGGATGTGAAGAATATCAGGACCCCACATATTAAGAAAAATTATGATTTTAATGGGCCTTTTCTAATAGAAATAAAACGCCAAAAGGCAAATGAGTTCTAAAAGTTGTTATCTGGGAAACACAAACTATTTTTATAATTGGCAAATGGAAAAATTGATCAATTTTAAAGAGTTCGCCCCCTTCTCCTTACTCATATGGATACTCTTTATGGCAGCCTAGATTATGCAAAGAGATTATACCAAGAGAATCCAGCCTTTTAGAGTAGGTTTGCTAATAAATGTCAATTCCGCTTCAATAAACCACTTATATGAAGCTTTGTTTTAAAACATTAGCCATGACAAAGACCACACCAAGGACTTACTTTTGAAAGTCTTAATCCTTCTGGGAAAAGTTGTATAGAATTGTTAAAATCTTGCCCAAAGATACCCCATACTTGTTTTCTGTTAACACTTCTCCCTCCTTTTCATTGTTGCTGCCAAGTTATAGGAATACAAGCAATCATCTTCAGGCCTCCATCTCAGCATAGATCTGCATTTTATCATTTCAGGCTGTCTTTTTTGATTGTATTTCATTATCTATATGCAACTGGAATGTTTAATGGTCAATGTTGGGGATCTGGATGAATTCTTCTGAGAAAGCTGAAAAGGTGATCCCTCAGCTATTATTGGACTAAAACTTCCTACCATGTTGACTGTGGACAATGGGAGTCTGAGTCTAACACTGCTGGAGAACCATAGGGTCTTCACCCTTACCAGTAACAAATAAAAGCATCAACTTCTTTGCAATCAGCAGACATTTTAAATAACTTACAATGCATATTTCTATTCAATAAGTGCCAACAGATCATCCTAATGATCAGATCTTTTAAGTCTTTTGTAGCAGTGCCAATAGCTTGGAGTTGTAATTCCTATCTTTCTCCCTTTCTGAATTGAAATAAAACAATTATTTTAGCAAAAAAAGAAATGGCATGTCTTTCTTTGGCATGTAATAGTATGGTGGTATCATTCAGAAATTAAATTTAAATTTAATTTAAACTAGACTGAGTGCATACGTAAGGCTTCAAAATGATAATGGTTAGATATAATTTTCATCATATTTCAATATGACCCCAAAAAAGAATCCCGGGGGGAGGGAATCTTTTCTGAAGAGGAAGTGGCATGCAATAATTAACTTTGATCATCATTCTCCCTTTTTTCTATTTTTTTTCTTTTCTTTTCTTTTCTTTTTTGTTTGCATCCTTCCTCCAATTTTTTACTTCTCTAGTCATTCTTAGCTTTATACCAGGGGTGAAATTCTGCAGGTTCTGACAGGTTCTGGAGAACCGGTAAATGATATTTTGAGTAGTTCGGAAAACCAGCAAATACCACCTCTGGCTGGCCCCAGAATGGGGTGGGAATGGAGTTTTTTGCAATATCCTTCCCCCAGGAGTGGGGAGGGAATGTGGATTTTGCAGTATCCTTCCCTTGCCATGCCCACCAAGCCACGCCCACAGAACCAGTAATAAAAAAAATTGGATTTCACCCCTACTTTATACCCTTTTGGTTTAAAATGTGTCTCAAGGTCAAGATGTAACACATTTTTTTTATATGAAAAAGCTTCCCATACTCATTGCATCATGGTCCTGCATGACTAAAAATGAATCAGATACAGATATTTTGCAGATTTTATTTTCAATAATGATTGACATTGTTTTTTCTTGGGTGCAGCTCTAAATGTACTTTATATAAGTGCACAGTTGCCAGTTACTTCTTTTTTTAAAAAAAAAAGGCATAAATATGCTGTACTTGTGGAACAATGTATTATGTCAAGATAAAACTTTACTGATGGCAATCCTGTGGTCTCTGTGCAATCTTGGAATGCACAACAAAGTTGCTAGCTCCATTGTTTCCTGATAGGATGTCTCCCTTACTTTGTCACTTCTATGTTAGCCATTTAACATGGGGCAACTAGGATGAAGCTGTGGAGTGATGGAGTGGCCTAGAGGTGGAGCTCTCACCTTACAATCAGGAGGCTGTGAGTTTGATCCTAGGTAGAGGCAGATATTTCTGTCTGTGGGCACACTGAGAATATATCTGCTGAACAAAGCTCCGCATTGGCAAGAGGAAGGGCATCCGGCCATTAAAACACTCTGCTAGCTCCATTCAGTTGCCCAGACTCCACCCCACAAAGGATTATGGGGTCGTTAAATGAAGATGATGATGAACTAGGATGGAACTCTTCTGAACTAGGGTAATTTGCTCAAGATTGGCCACCTCTTTATGGGATGCTGGTGATTGTTCTTAAAGATGTAATGAGCAATACTGGCCATTCATTCTAGCCATGTCACCATCTATATTTCTCCTTAGAATCTCCATCTTGCCAGGTGAGACAGAGAACAGGTATAGAGACAGAAAATAGGATGTTTGCCCCTTGCAATTTCTCAGGTGGATTTTTAAAGGGGCAACACAGCTACCTAGCTCAAATTATGAATGACACCATTAATCTTGCTCTATTTTTCTTTTTCACTATAGAATTTGCCAGCCCTTTGGGCCACTACTGGCATTTTAAGTTTTGACAGCATGTTACAAGCATTCTCACAAATTGTTGACATGGTGGGTATGGCCAAATACCCTTTTATTACAAGACAAATTTGTATAGTTCCTGCCCACAACCCATTGTAGTCTCTAAGGATGCTCTTGGCAAGTTTCTTATTATTGTTAAATTAAATTGTTTTTGCCACCCATTTTACCACAGGGCTTCTCTAGATGGCAATTAAAAAGGTGAGATTAAGTTTACCTGATATATTTTCTTTATATTTTCTGTCTGTCTGGTTTTCTTGGTTAAAAAAAAAAAAGCCTTCTCCTGCACATTTGGATCATTTGGGTAGTTTCTGTTGTCATTATGATTGAAAAAGAGTAAACACAGTTGATTGATAATAAATGGCTTCAGCCAAACACTAACCATGAGTGAAATAAAAGTTTTCGTGTTATCATTCATATTCTCTGAAAAATGGCCAAGAAATCATAAATTGTGCCAGGGTATGTAAACTTATGAGCACAACTGTATCATTTACCTCCAGGATCTTCCTATATTGCTACTGGCCAATATAGATATACAGTACTTGCCTGCTTACTTTAGCTGGGCAGCTCTTCAGGCCTTGGGCAATCCTGCTGGAAATACAGTCAGCTCCAGAAATATTGGGACATCAACACAATTCTAACATCTTTGGCTCTATACACCACCACAATGGAGTTGGAATGAAACAAACACAATGTGCTTTAACTGCAGACTGTCAGCTTTAATTTAAGGGTATGTACATCCAACTCAGGTGAACGGTGTAGGACTTGCAGCAGTTTGCATATGTGCCTCCCACTTGTTAAGGGACCAAAAGTAATGGGACAGAATAATAATCATAAATCAAACTTTCCCTTCTTAATACTTGGTTGCAAATCCTTTGCAGTCAATCACAGCCTGAAGTCTGGAATGCATAGACATCACCAGACGCTGGGTTTCATCCCTGGTGATGCTCTGCCAGGCCTCTACTGCAACTGTCTTCAGTTCCTGCTTGTTCTTGGGGCATTTTCCCTTCAGTTTTGTCTTCAGCAAGTGAAATGCATGCTCAATGGGATTCAGGTCAGGTGATTGACTTGGCCATTGCATAACATTCCACTTCTGTCCGTTCAAAAACTCTTTGGTTGCTTTGGGTCATTGTCCATCTGCACTGTGAAGTGCCGTCCAATGAGTTCTGCAGCATTTGGCTGAATGTGAGCAGATAATATTGCCCGAAACACTTCAGAATTCATCCTGCTGCTTTTGTCAGCAGTCACATCATCAATAAATACAAGAGAACCAGTTCCATTGGCAGCCATACATGCCCACGCCATGACACTACCACCACCATGCTTCACTGATGAGGTGGTATGCTTAGGATCATGAGCAGTTCCTTTCCTTCTCCATATTCTTCTCTTCCCATCACTCTGGTACAAGTTGATCTTGGTCTCATCTGTCCATAGGATCTTGTTCCAGAACTGTGAAGGCTTTGTTAGATGTTGTTTGGCAAACTCTAATCTGGCCTTCCTGTTTTTGAGGCTCACCAATGGTTTACATCTTGTGGTGAACCCTCTGTATTCACTCTGGTGAAGTCTTCTCTTGATTGTTGACTTTGACACACATACACCTACCTCCTGGAGAGTGTTCTTGATCTGTCCAACTGTTGTGAGGGGTGTTTTCTTCACCAGGGAAAGAATTCTTCGGTCATCCACCACACTTGTTTTCCGTGGTCTCCCAGGTCTTTTGGTGTTGCTGAGCTCACCGGTGCATTCCTTCTTTTTGAGAATGTTTCAAACAGTTGTTTTGGCCACGCCTAATGTTCTTGCTATCTCTCTGATGGGTTTGTTTTGTTTCTTCAGCCTAATGATGGCTTACTTCACTGATAGTGACAGCTCTTTGGATCTCATCTTGAGAGTTGACAGCAACAGATTCCAAATGCAAATAGCACACTTGAAATGAACTCTGGGCCTTTCATCTGCACATTGTAATTGGGGTAATGAGGGAATATCACACACCTGGCCACGGAACAGCTGAGAAGCCAATTGTCCCATTACTTTTGGTCCCTTAACAAGTGGGAGGCACATATACAAACTGCTGTAAGTCCTACACTGTTCACCTGAGTTGGATGTACATACCCTCAAATTAAAGCTGACAGTCTGAAGTTAACGCACATTGTGTTTGTTTCATTCCAACTCCATTGTGGTGGTATATAGAGCCAAAGATGTTAAAATTGTGTCGATGTCCCAATATTTCTGGACCTGACTGTATATTCTCCTGGAGTACATTCCCAGAATTCTTCGCTCATCCCTCCCAAGACATACACCCCCCCACACACTGCCCATTTCCCACCATGATGAAGCAGTACAGCAAGCCTCGAGGCAAAAATATTATTTCTAGTGTGGCTAAAAATAAAATCATCTCATGCTGCTAAATGACAAAGAAATACAGATAGATTGGAGAGACTGACAATAATGCTTTGACAAGCGATCTGGCAAAGTGTGCAAATTGTTTTATCATATAGCAAATGCATGAAAATGTACGTGAAGTGGGATGAATTGGGTTATCGAGGCAGCTGATTAAATCCATACCTTTCTGCATCTGGGTATTATTATTTCAGGGAGCAAATGTGTAATTACATCTTCTCCGGCTAATTAGCAGGATGCTGTTACGTTGTGAATGATCGTTTCCTGTTAACTATGTACCCTTGAGGATAAATTGTCATGAAGCCAAAGTTCTTTGTGCTTCTCATCCCAAAGCATGCCATTAAGCTTGTCTTATCACAATTCCCCTGTAATTTTTGTTATTTTTGGAACAAATTTATTTTTAAGACAGAGGCATGCACTGGAGACATGGGCAACTGAACTCAAATCCTAGATCTAGAATGCAGATATTTAGACTATTAATTCACACTCCCTGTTCAGTGCAGAAATCCAGATTAAAGCATTCCAAACATTTGTTTGACTAACTTCTGTTTGAGATATGCCCCATATCTCTGGTAAGTGGCTCCATTGTCAAATTGCTATTGCTGTTAGGAATCAGAATCTGCCTTGCTGTACCTTAAATCCATGATTGTTTCGGGCTCCCTGGAATGAGAGAGAACATGTTTTGATTTTCAACAACTATCTTGGTCTCAGCAATTTCTCCATGTAGAGCTTCCCCACCCATTTCATGAGGTTCAGTTCCAATTCTAAAAAGTAGCCAAGGACCACCAGGAAGCAGATGCCATAAAGAAATGCATCTCACAAAGGAGAATTGGAAAGTAAGAGAGAAGAAAGAAATATATGCTAAGCATGAGTGGAAAGATGGATATGTAGGTAAGTATTATTTGTGTGGGGTAGCTTGGCCATTTTGGCTTTGGTGTGCACTTTTCTCGTGATGCTCATTCACAGTTGGTATGAAGCCTCCAAATTAGCCATAATTCTTTTCTAATTGCATGTCCACAAAACCCACTAGGAATAATTCTGGTTTCATGATTCTGGTCTCCAATATCTTTTGCTTCATTGTATGGCTTTGCACCAAATTTCTTTGCTTTCTCATAAATCCATCTCACTTGATAAAAATCCCTCTCTTTCTTTTCACACTTTCAACACTGATTTGATATTCTTTTTTACATTTCTGATGGTTTGGCTGGTGTCATATATACCATTGGTACATCATTGTATTCAAGTTCTCTCTTAAAGTAAAACACAAGGTAAATTTGACACCAGTTCCCCACATTTCTCCCATATATCCATATTTACAGTATGTTATAACCAAAGATTGGATCCCATTTCACCATATAGTCTTTAACTTGTTCATCCTCTTTATCAAACCTTAATAATTTGCATATTTTAGTTATTATATGACCATCATTTATCCATTCAGTAAGAGTCTCTTTCTTAGGCTTTCTTGCCTTCTTGAGCTTAGCCTATGCTTCTTCTGCATTTACTGCTGTCCTAATATAGCTTCTGGATGCCTTCTCCAAGGTCATTCCCATGGCTTCCCACAGAAAGTAACAGGATTTGTTGTTTCCATCTTTACATTATATTTCAGGTGGAGTGTAAAAAAAAAAAGTCCATTACAATTGACTTTGTTCTGCGTTGAAAGAAATATTTGGACCTCTGAAATTACTTCTGTGGAACAATTCTTTTTTAATGGACATTTTCTTCTTGAATATTCTCCTTTACCTAAAACAAGTGTTACCTTTACCTTTAAGTTGTCTAATCTTTTTCATATGACTTTTTAAAATATTTTCTTTAATTTCTTTATACATTTGTGAAACATTTCACAGCTTTTGTGTAATTATTTCAGTAGTAGCTTTA